GCTGCGCAAGAATGCGGCTGATAAAGGGAGTTCAGGGAGGACGGTGAGAGGGTAGGGCTGCAGAACATGCCTTACAGTAAAATGAGGAGCTCCCTGTGCACAATAAATGTTGGGTTTCTTCTATTTTTTTTTTTATTATTTTTTTTCTTGTGAGGTTATGCTGTGGTTTAAGCAGTTCACTGAAGGAAATGTGGTGTCCTGCCTTGCGCGGGAGGTCAGCCTGCACCGACACAGGGTCTGTCCTGCTGCCTAGCAGGAGTCTCCACGGTGGAAAAATGGGAAAGGAAAAGCCATTGTCTCTTCAGAGACAGATGTCTGCAGCCCTTCCTACTCAAGCCTTGGGGGCTGCTGGTGTTTCAACTTCCAAAACTGGTGCGTTGTTACCGAGGGCATCAGCCCGGTGGCCAGCATCAGCTGCTCCTGTGCCAGCACCCTCTCTTCTTGATTTTTAACATTTTAACATTTTCCCCCTTCCTGAACAGACTGCCGACTTTTAAGGAAAGACTTTTCCTTCTCTGGGAAGGGCAGGCAGCCTGCAGCCGCAGCTGGTGCACAGGGACAGGACTGGAAAGAGCAGACCAGGGGCTCTGCCTTGAATAGTGCTTTCCTTGAGACTGGCTGTAGTAATTCTGAAAGAAAACATGCCTTGTTTTGGGCATCTTTGTAAAGGCTTAAAAGCGTGTGCTTGCATGTATCCTGTTGTACGTGTGCTGAGACTTTGCTTCCGGAACACTAGGATATTAACTAGTGCTTCCTTGATGTAGGCTTGATAAAGGTCTCTCAGGCATGTGAGAAGTTGGGCTGGAAACATTAATTGTTTGTCACCTGGCACAAAGAGGAGCCGTGGAGGCTGGCAGTAGCATTCCTTCACGCTGTAAACAGGGCACAAGTGCAGACCATGCTTCTTCCGTGGTGCTCAGCCCCATGTGAGCACGTACAGAGTAAGAAAAATGCCTGTCTTCAGGGGTTTCTGAGCTCAGAACACGAATTTCAGGATGCCCAGAGCTGAGTCGTGATGGGGATGTGCTCCCCTGAGAGGAGGGGTCTGACCAGTGTAGCAGAGCGTGCTGTGGGGCAGTGGCCGTGGAAAGGGGGGTCCGTTTGTGGGGACAGCTGCAGAGGCTGTCCAGTCTGTCTGGTGCCCGAGAGAAGCCGGTTTGTGCCTTGGAGGAAGTCTGACAATGAACGAGATGAAGAGGCTCTGTTTGGTGGGGACAGCTGCAGAGGCTGTCCAGTCTGTGTGGTGCCCGAGAGAAGCCGGTTTGTGCCTCGGAGGACGTCTGACAATGAACGAGATGAAGAGACTCTGTTTTGTTCCTTGTCTCAAGCTGGGCTGCTCTGGAGCTTAGCGGCCCTTCTAGAAATCGTCATTAAACCAATTCTGAGTCATCATCGTTTGCCTTCGCAATATTTTCTCCTCGGCACCATCCCGTGAGGAGGGGATGAGGGAAACGTTGCTGTTGTGGAGCTTGATTTTCTTAGACACCATTAAGTGGTTCCTGGCTCTTGTGACGGGCTGAGGGAGAGGTGTTTTTACTGTAGTGGATGCATGCCAGGTGGGTGACGGTTCCTCGGCAATGGTCATCGCGAGGGACTGGAAGGTCGAGATCATGACTTGTGCAATTTTGGTGTTGTCTGGCAGGGTGCTCTAGACACTTACCCGTCTGTCAGCGGTGCCTGGAGCACACAGAAAGCTCCACCTGGAAGGACATAGCACACCGTGCTCTGCTCCCAGGTGGAGGCTGGCGTACATTATGTTTGTAGACAGATCCTGGTTCATGCCACTACCTGTATTCCTCTTTCTCAGCATTCTGTCCTCAAAGACCTGCTCTGAGGTCGTGGTGCTCCATGTTCCCATGACACATCATGCTCGTCAGCCTTAAATTCTGTGCGTGACACTTTCAGTGGGCTCTGTGGAGCCTACTTCAGGTTCCCCGTGCCCACGGCGTGCGATGGCCCCTCTGGGTGCCCGGGGAGGCCTACCTCGTGGCCTGGGGAAGGCTGGGATTCCTGACGGGGGAGGAAGGTTGTGGTTTCCTGGCCTCTCACTTTTATTCCTTCCTTCCCTTTGTTCTTTTTCAGAACATGAGTGAAAACTTGAAGGACTGTTTGATCCAAACCCAGACTTCCATAGGGGAGATGGTGACGATAAAAACAGAGGCCTGCTCTCTGCACCAGGACCAGGAGTATGGACAGCCTTGGTACGCATCTGGTGCTCTAGCCCCCTTCTTTCCACCTCCATCCCAGATTAAAATTGGTTTTGAGGGACATACTTGAGTCACTAAGAGAGCTGGCCAGGCCCTGTTGCCTCTGCCTCTCTGGGTGAGCAGTCCCAATGTCTTGGTAGGTTAACGTCGTCTTTCTGTTGTTCCTTCCCCAGCTCTGGAAGGCCTGACCCACAGTCCATGGAGGTGGAGCCCAAGAAACTGAAAGGGAAACGGGATTTGATCATGACCAAGAGCTTTCAGCAAGTGGATTTCTGGTGTAAGTGTCTTGGGAGTGAGGGAAGAGCCACACTGCCACATGTATAGGCTTTGGTCTTTCCTAGTTGGTGGTGTGCTGGTTTGGGGTGGGAGGCAGAGAAGGACGAAGCTGGGGACAAATTTGCATGCTTTCCTGAAAAGCCCAGCGTGTTTGACAGGGCAGCTGTTGCACAAAAGCAGCTCATCCGTTGTGGGGCTGTGCAGGGGCAGATGGAAAGCGTGCTGGGGAGATGAAAATGCGCATGGGGAAAGCTCCAAGAGTCTGCAAAACCCAAAAGCTTGAATCTAGAAACTGTAAAGGGAGCGTTGTGCGAACAACAACTCTTTCGCCCCCATATTCTGGGAAGAAAGCTGGTGCCAGTTACACTGGCACGACTACAAAATGCCAAATTGTCGGCCTGAGTCCCTGTCTGGCCATCGGGCAGGTGCCTGGGGATGCCATCTCTCTCTCCCAAGCACAGAACAAAGTCTGGCTGATGTGGGCATTTGTTTTCAGCTGTGGAGAAAGGGCTCTGCCGGGCTGGGAGGAGGATGGGGAGCTGGGATGTGTGTCCCAGGAGCTTCATGAGCCCGTGTGGGCGTCGTGTCTGCCCAAGCTAACCCCTGCTCCCCTCGCACCCACAGTCTGCGAGTCCTGCCAGGAGTACTTTGTGGATGAGTGCCCAAACCACGGCCCCCCTGTGTTCGTGTCTGACACCCCAGTGCCCGTGGGCATCCCTGACCGGGCAGCCCTGACCATCCCGCCCGGAATGGAGGTGGTGAAAGAGCCCAGCGGGGAGAACGACGTGCGCTGTATGAATGAGGTGATCCCCAAAGGTCACATCTTCGGGCCGTACGAGGGGCAGATCTCTAGCCAGGACAAGTCTGCAGGATTCTTCTCGTGGCTGGGGAGTGAAGTGTCTCCCCAACAAAGTGACAACTTGGTCATGGAGCTCAGAGCTGGGGGACTCGTGGGCCTGCGGGGCCAGACTTAAGCCATCTTCCCCTTTCTCTACAAGTTTTCTGCTGACACACACAGGCAGTAGGACCTGCCATAATTATTAGCAGCTTAAGAGTACGGATACGTGAAAGGAGACCAGGTGACCTGGGACCCGAGTTCAGTTCCCAGCTGTAGGAAGCAGAGCTTGCTTCTCCTCTCCCCCTGTTCTTCCATTCCCAGTCAACCTCTAGGATTCCTCCGGTACCTTTCTCTGCTCTGGTCATCATTCTGAGGATAGAGTAAGGATGGTATCTAGAGATTGCAAATCTCTCGTGGGCCCGCAGCAGTCCTTCCCAGCCTGTGTGAGCAGAGCAAGTGGCTCAAGAGGCCAGAAAAGAGGAGATCAAATCCATCAGGAACTGATCTACGTGCAGCCTCCAGCACCAAACCCCTTATTTTTTTCCCCTCCTGCTACAGGTTAACCTATGAGATAGAGATGTCGCTAGATCGACAGATACTAATTATTATGAGAAATGAGGTGTGGGACTTCAGTTATAGGTGGGGAAAAAATGGAGAGCTGCTGGTATGAAATGCTGCTCATGCTTTTCTGTCTGTAAAATAAATGTGTGTCTCAGCCCTATCCTGAAAGGGGAGTTAATCTTCTGTATCTCAGGAACGTTAACAATTCTGCCAGCTGCATGCGCAGTGTGTTACGTGTGTTTGTATGTGGGAACGTACCTCTTGGTTCAGAGTAGCCTCCACACACATATCCAGGGCCGCAGCCTGTAGTACCAGGAGAGCTGAGATCCGTGACGTGGGGTTTCACTTCCTGACTTCAGGCTAGAACTGAAGCAGCAATTTGAGAATCACAGACCTTCTCCTGTCTGGGCCAGCTAGTTGACACTCTCCATCTGTTCTCCTGTTTGCAGATCGTTGATAAGAACAACCGCTACAAATCCATCGATGGGACGGATGAAACCAAAGCAAACTGGATGAGGTGAGTCCAATTCTCTTCTGCTTTCTCTTTCGGGGCTCTTGTCTTCCGAAGAGAGGCCATCAAACGCTCCTTGTTGTTTTATGTGACAGAAAAACAAACCAAAATGCCCCAACCCTTTCTGTTAAAGGGTGTGCTGGTGCTCTTTCAGTATTCAGTGTGATGAGAAGCCTTTGGAGTCAGATTCAATGAAAGGGACTAAAACAAGGATATGTGTATGGAGGATGGCTCTTCTCTGGAATGAGAACAAACGATAAAGATGATCCTATTTATCCACTTTTACGAATGCTGACAGGTCTCACTTCATTGTTTTTTATTTTTCTTTTTTTTACTTTATGTTCAAATATTTGCAAAATGCTTTGCATTATCCCCAAGGTAACATTTGCTTCTCTTTGGGGTCTTTGGTCCTTTCCCATTTGACAGACACTGAAAAAGGTGCTTTATTTGTTTCTTTCACTTGAAACAATAGTCTGCGGTGGCTGTCATTGGCAGTGTCAGCTTTGCTGTGTTAAGTGAATCACTGCAGCTCCAGACACAGAAATGATGTGTATGCTCTCCCTCTGCCAGCCCCGGGACTGGGCAGAGCAGAACCCAAATACCAGTCAGTACTGGACCAGGAGTGAGGCTGGCTCTGTCTCGTTACCAGCAGCAGTAAGGGAACTTGTTTAATGCTAAAGAAGTGCTTCAAGTATTGGCATAGATCTGCAAAATGTAGGTCACTCCTTGCAACCTCCTGAGGCACTGAAGTGCTTCCTGCACATGATGGGTCACCGGAACAGGGCGTCACCGCCCACCGAGGCCCCAACCAGTCCTGCTTTCAGGAGTGAATTCGGGAAGCAGGTGTGGTCCAGAAGGCGTTTCCTACAAAAGTAAAGCAGTATGGGAGTTAACTGGTTTGTTGGCCTGGATGTCAAGGATTTTCAGTTGTCACTGAGGAGTGTGAAGTACAGGTAGATGCAAGACTGACCTAGCTGGTCAAATCTGCTTGCACCACTTCTGCTACATTTGAGTCTTCACATGAATAGCAGCTGTTCTGACACTTACGCACATGAAGTTCAGCAAAGGATTTTGGTTTTCTGTGAGAATTCTAGCTGTTACAGTTATTTGCTACTGGATGAGTGAAAAGGTTACACCTGGGCTGAGGCTGGAAGAGTTGTCATTGAAAACAAAAAGCAGTGGTACAGTGGGCAGATAGGTTGGACGTGCATCTTGAAAAGAATTCAGAGTTCAAAAATCAGTGAGATTTTTCTGCTTAGATCTGGATGTTTATGTGATCTGCAGGACAGTGAAGCTGTGGGAAAACAGTCTTGGAAAGCAAAAATCCTATGGTGAGCTCTTCTTCCTACTGCCATGAACATAAGCTTGATGTCTGGATTTAAATGGGCACTGCTCATGGTCCCAGCAGCAAAGAACAGAATTTTCTTGTCTAAACTTGGGTTTGCCATGATTGAGACGAGTGTGGTCTGGGCCGTTCTGTACAGCCGTGAAAGACGAGGGGGTGATGGTTTTGTGGAGAGGGGGTGTTTGCAGCTCTCCTGGGCCAGGGCCTATCAAAGGACCTGTGCAGGCTACTCCAGTCTTGCTGTTCTTTCTGGGTTTGCTCTTGAAAATGCCTTCTAATAGCAGTATTACACAGTGTCTGACCGACGGTTCAGGTGGAGGTAGCCTTGGTTTTGTTCAGGCAGAGGTGCACTGGCCATCCTGTGCTAAGACATTCCCAGCCATGGAGACCCCCCCGCAGAAGCTGCCCTTCCAGGATGCTGTAGACAGCGCTCTTTTTGTTTTTCGGATGATGCTCTTTGCCATCACTCACAGCTGAAGTGCTTTGCAAAGCAGATCTACTCACCCTCTGGGTAGGTGGGCATGGCATGGGGAGGGCAGCTCGGGCTGTCTCCTCTCTCTTCTTGTAGATCTGGCTCTTGCTTTTATCGTTTGACGACCAGATCTGAGTCTGTT